ACAGAAAGGAAAATAATGTCCAATCTAATTGTAAAATGCATGGGTGCCCTCAGCACTCTGTGGTTTGCTTGGAGCCTAAGTGGATGCTCATTGCCTTCTCACTAAGTGGATGCTCATTGCCTGATTCTGTCTTTGTGTGAGGTTAAAGCCGCAGAGAACTCTATCTTTTGAATAAAACAGTATCTGAGGGCACCTGTTTGTGCCATTTGAATCCCTAATGAAGATTCATTTATTTCTTTTTTGAAAGCTTATAACCACCTGGCTGATAGTTCATGAAATTTGTCCAAAATAAAAGCTGAAAGCAAGACTGTAAAGCAATACATGGAAACTCAATAAATTCATCTGCGTGAACGAACCCACACACGCACCAAGTATTGTACGTAGAATGGAAACTCAACATGGCTTGCATACAAATGGACCTTTTTTACATTGTGTAGATGCTGTCATAATTAATAAAATAAAACAATTTAAAAGTATTTTACTTATTTGACAGAGAGAGAGAAAGAGCACAAGCGGGGGAAGGGCAGAGGGAGAGGGAGAAGCAGGCTCCCCGCTGAACAGAGACCCCCCCCCCACTGTGGGACTCAATCCCAGGACCCCAGGATCATGACCTGAGCCGAAGGCAGAGGCTTAAGTGACTACACCACCCAGGCACCCCAAATAAAACCATTTAAAAAGAACAAAAACAGAAGTCACCTGTGACATCTGGGGACAGATGCAACTGACCTTTCAATTGAGGACACTATTCCTAAAACTAAATATGATATCGTAGAAGGAAAGAGTTTATAGTCATAATTTGGTTTTGATGGAGCAGAATATGCAAAGAAACACAGACTTGCAGCTTGCATTAAGCATATAAGGATATCCTTACCTTGTTTGTACACTTGATTTGAAGGAGTTGTGACACGGTGTGCCCTCCCCGCAGACACAGCAGGTGCAGGCTGAATTGGGTGATCACTGAAGGGACATGTGCAAGCTGCACTAAGATCTTCTAACTGCCCACCACCCACCCCCCGTGAATGCTCGGAAATGCTCTTGTGCCAGGATCTGTAGGCTTCCTTATGTTGCTTTACAGTTTCTTCATTGATACTTTCTTTTTTTATTTTTTTAAAGATTTTATTTATTGATTGATTTGACAGACAGAGATCACAAGTAGGCAGAGAGGCGGGCAGAGAGAGAGGGGGGGAGGCAGGCCTCCCGCCGAGCAGAGAGCCTGATGGGGGGCTCGATCCCAGGATCCCCTGGGATCATGACCCAAGCCGAAGGTGGAGGCTTTAACCCACTGAGCCATCCAGGCACCCCTTTTTCTTTTTTTTTTAAGATTTTTATTTATTTATTTGACAGAGAGAGAGATCACAAGTAGGCAGCGTACCAGACAGAGAGATAGAGGGGGAAGCAGGGTCCTTGCCAAGCAGAGAGCCTGATGCAGGCCTCGATCCCAGGACCCCGAGACCTTGACCTGAGCCGAAGGCAGAGGCCTAACCCACTGAGCCAGTCAGGCACCTGATACTATTTCTGAGGTGGGTATAATAATACACATGTCAATTAGCTTTTCATACACTTTGAATATGGTTAAAACTGTTGAGTCCATCCTTGACGCTAAAATACAAATCATACACTTAGGTGTGTGCATTCACTTCCCCAAGACACAACCACTGTATTTCCATTGTGTGGAATGCACTTGACCTCCATACCCCACCACGAAACTCCTACCTGTACTTCAAGGTCCTTTCTTCCATGTTTTCCTTAATAAACGTCTTTGAAGCCTCTGCCTTCGGCTCAGGTCATGATCCCAGGGTCCTGGGATCAAGCCCCAAATCAGGCTCTCTGCTCCCCAGGGAGCCTGCTTCCTCCTCTCTCTCTGTCTGCCTCTCTGCCTACTACTTGTGATCTCTGTCAGATGAGTAAATAAAATCTTTAAAAAGAAAAAAAAAATAAACGTCTTTGAAATTAACTTCTTAGTCTTTCCATAAACACAGTGGAAGAGGCCACAGTGGAAGTGTTATAGGAGTTGAGGCATTTAGAAGATGGATTTAGAAAAGAGGATATATAGAGTCCTACCATTTGCCTACTGCAATCTGTCTCGAGCCCAAACTCAAGTGTCATAAGACCACTGTTCACTGTCCGTGTCTGGAACTATACCTCGGACTCACTGTATTCTGTGTCCTAGTCACTAGGACCAGCTACCTTCATCCAAAGGGACATGAACTACCCTTGCACCTTGTCTGCTGCTTTCCTTGTGCTTTATTGTTGTCGATGCTGTTCACTCTTTTCCAGAATTTCATCTCTATATTCTTTACAATTCCACTGGTGCCTGTAAAAATCCCATTTCAGGCCAAAGGCAAACCTAAATGTGAAAAAGAGGCTTAACCAGAGTATCCATTAGGGAAGTAAGTGCGCATTAGTTCCAAGCTCCATATGATATATTGCCTTCCTACAGTGTCGAAAAGCACTATTTGCACTGCATCAACTAGAAAGTAAGTAGGACGAAGGCTCTAGGAATGCTGGCTATTTGCTATGAGAATGGTACTGGGGCTCTGCTTTCAGCAAAATAGAAAAATGGTCATGAATTTTGACTGCCCAGTATCCTCACGTTGGACTAGCAACTTGGATCCACTACCTCATTTAATCCTCAAAATCATGGTCAAGGTTAAGGAGTCTCTCTGACGCTTTAAAAAAAAAAAGATTTTATTTATTTATTTGACAGTGGGAGAGCAAGAGAGAGAGCACAAGCAGGGGGAGCGGCAGGCAGAGGGAGAAGCCCAATCCTTAATGAGGAGGGAGCCTGATGTGGGAGTGGATCCTAGGACTCTGGGATCATGACCTGAGCCAAAAGCAGCCGCTTAATCGCTTAACTGACTGAGCCACCCAAGCCCCTGGCGCTTTTTGAATTAAGGTTTTATTTTTAAGGATCAAGCCCCATGTCAGGCTTCCTGCTCAGCAGGGAGTCTCCTCTGTCTGAACCCCCCCCCCTGGTGCTCTCTCCCTCTCTCTCTCTCTCTCTCACTCTTCCTCTCAAATAAACAAAATATTTTTTTAAAAGATTTTATTTGTAAGTAATCTCCACACTCAACATGGGGCTTGGACTCACAACCGTGAGATCAAGAGTCGCATGCTTCACTGACTGAGCCAGCCAGGCGCCCCTCATCTGTTAACTTTTTAAAGCATCATTGTTACATGCTCAGCTAATGCTGGTGAAAAAGATGAAAAGGCACAGTTCCTATTTTCACCGGGCTCACGTGTTTGAATCCCTTACGAACCCATTCCTGAGAGCCGAGGGGAAGCTGAAGTAGGAGTCCCCCCAAGATTGACTCTGTCCAGAGAAGTTCTGCTCTGCCCCTGAGACAGTGAGCAGGACACCCAAGAACTCTGTATGTTCCTGGCAAGTACTCCCACCTTTGCCTTACACCCAACACTCCCTGCCTCACCACCACGATCGATCTTGAGACCTTCATGTCAATCGCCACAAAAAGCCCGGGACATCCTGGGATCACACCAGCCCCTGGCACACCTGTTGGGAAGCTCTACTGCAGAACTCCCGGGCCCAGAAACAGGGGGTGTTGGGTCCCTGGGCTTTCAGGCGACTTGTTAAAACCTCGTTGCTAACACAGCCCAGACGGATCCTTCCTGCCCCCTGGTCCTGGCACCATAACATCATCCATTCAGGGAGGCCAGGGTGATGCCCTGACGGGGGCGAGAGAGATGGTCAAAGACCGTGGTGAGCCACCGTCTGTCTCAAGATCACCCTCCCCACAGGTACCCGGTTAGAGAGTACGGGGGTTGGGGGTTGAGGTGGGAGAATCCATGGTCCCTGCATCTGTCCTGTCTGGGGCTGGGCTTCTCAGGGGTTCCCATGGGCTGGTGCTGCTTCAGCAGGATGAGTTTCAGGAGAACCTGGAGCCAACAGTGCTCCCACTTGCCCCATCCTGTCCCGTGACTCCATGGCTCAGGAAGCCTGAACATGAACAGAAGGCATGAAGAGAAGGCAAGTTCAACCAGGGGAAAGGATCTGGGCCTTGCATTCAAGGCTGTAATCCCAGGAGCTAGCACATAGAAGGCAATCACTATTTCTAGAGTGAATCAATGAGTGATACCTAAAATCTAGAAGACACTGACTCCACCTACTGAGCATAATATGGGGGAACTAACCACTACTTGGCTGGGTCATCTCATGGACCTGTAATGCAAACTCAGATTAACAAAAAAAACTTGGGGCGCCTGGGTGGATCAGTGGGTTAGAGGCTCTGCCTTAGGCTCAGGTCATGATCCCAGGGTCCTGGGATCAAGCCCCACATCAGGCTCTCTGCTCTGCGAGGAGTCTGCTTCCTCCTCTCTCTCTGCCTGCCTCTCTGCCTACTTGTGATCTCTGTCTGTCAAATAAATAAATAAAATCTTAAAAAAAAAAAACTTACGGTGGACACCGAGTTTTAAAAATAAAGGTTCTTAGAGGTGCCTGGGCAGCTCACTGGGTTAAGCCTCTGCCTTCAGCTCACCTGGGATCGAGCCCCAAATTGAGGTTTCTGCTCGGCGGGGAGCCTGCTTCCACCCCACCGCCCCCCCCACTGCCTGCCTCTCTGCCTACTTGTGATCTGTCAAATAAATAAATAAATAAAAATCTTTTTAAAAAAGGTAAAGGTTCTTAGGGGTGCCTGGGTGGCTCAGTTGGTTACATGTCTGCTTTCATCTCAGGTCATGATCCTGGGGTCCTGGGATTGAGCCCTGAGTCAGGCTCCTTGCTCACTGGGGAGTCTGCTTCTCCCTCTCCCTCTGCCCCTCCCCACCCCCTACTCATTCTCTCTCTTTCTCAAATAAATAAAGTCTTTAAAAAAATAAACAAAGGATTAAGGTAAAAATGTCTTTAATCAATAATGAAAAATGCTGGCCACTCTCCAGAAGGTACACTCCATTTAACCAGCCCACATGGAACTTGAAAGGCTGTGCTTGAATTAACTGTTGAGGCTTACTAAGCTCTTTTTCACAAAACACATTTAAACCAGGCCTTTTGCTGATAAGAAAAGAGAAGGCACCCAGGGAACACAAATGCTGTTCTCTTATTAGCACCTTTTCACTGGAGTCATAGAAATTGCTCTCCAAGTGTAGCAGGACTGAATGCTCTCCACCACGACAGCATTAACAATATCGGATACATGAGGTGTGTATCCAGCAGGCAGCTTCAGAGATTCCAAGGTGAAAAAGATGCTATCATCTATCACCCCATTTCTTCCATGGAGGCTAGTAATGCAGACCTGTAATTACAGATAATAGAACTGTTGATGTAAAAGCACCGTCCGCTGTAACCTGGCCTGCATCTCCTCGCTCTCACTTTAATCTGTAGGTCACTCCATTCCCAGCCTGGCCGCCATGTTGGAAACACCGGGAACACTTTGTAAAACTACCCATGGCGACCCCTACCTCACAGCCGCTAAGTCAGAAGTCCTGCAGACCTGGCCCCGGTCGAGGATTAGAAACTTTGCACTAGATACACCACATAATGTCCATTAACCTCTCCAGCGAAGGCTGAGGGAGTGAAAGGGGCAGAGTGAGAAAGGAATGTGGTGGCCAACAGAAGGCCATTTCTCTACTTCCTGGGTCACATCCCAAGCACCAACTGTCCCTTTGTACAGACCAACTTTCCCATTCCTTTCCACTCTCTGATACCTAAGTCACACTCAGCATTTACCACAAGCTCTGGTCCCCTTCTTCCCCCCCACAATTCCCTCAACAAGATTTGTTTTCGGTTCAGGTTGCTCTCAGGGTATTTTAATACCTCCCAAGTAGACTGTCTAATTTAGATCTTAATTATATGTGTGTTGTAGAGTATCCTCAGATTGTGTCCATTTAGAAGCATGGTCTGGGGGCACCTGGGTGGCTCAGTGGGTTAAGCCTCTGCCCTCGGCTCAGGTCATGATGTCAGGGTCCTGGGATCGAGCCCCGCATCAGGCTCTCTGCTCAGCAGGGAGCCTACTTCCTCCTCTCTCTCTGCCTGCCTCTCTGCCTACCTGTGATCTTTGTCTGTCAAATAAATACATAAAATCTTAAAAAAAGAAAGAAAGAAGAAGCACGGTCTGCTCAATAAGGAAAGAGACTCTTCCTTGGCAAAGAATGGTTTTGCCAACACATCACATGGAATCCCGGGCAGCAGCAAAGGTCACTCAAGGAAGGAGAAGCAGAACCCAATAACAAGAGCTACACGCCAACGGACTACCTCATGCACATGCTTATGTCTCCGAGGCTTCACCGACAGGGCCCTTCTGTTCAGTGTCTCTGACGGGGTGCAAAACTCAACTTCTACTCGGTCCCCCTGGTAAGGCTCGAAACCTAAAACAGCCACGGAGAGAAATTGAGTTGAAAGGATCTCTCAGTCTTAGTAACGCTCAGTTTCACAGTTACCTCGACATTATGAGACCCTAAAATAATTTCAGTTACATCGAGAGTACATTTTGAACCTTTTAAAACAGGGAACCTTGAAAGTCTTCCTGTCAGAAAGGACGTCTGTAATCCTCTAGACATCGATTCTCTCTCTGGTTTAACTGAGTCTGTTGGGCATCCCAGGCCAAGCTCTTTGGGAGCAGCACGGGATTTATTAAACCACCGTTCAAGTTCGCAATCCCTCTGGAGACGCAGGGAAGTACGTAAGACAGGGCACATGTGTCATTCTGGCTGCCTGGCTTCCAACTACTCGACCTGCAACCTTGGGCAAGTTTCTTAACCTCTTTGTGCCTTGATTCCTTCATCTATAAAATGAGAAGCGAACTGTAGGACTTAGCACAGGGAGTTGAAGGGAGAATTAATCAGTGCATATAAAACTCACAGAACAGTGCCTGGCACATAGTCAGCCCCAAATACACGCCACAGCCTAAAACTGCCAAGATTCTGCCGGGCTATCAAGTCAGGAGGATCGCTGGGAAATGCGAGAAACTCCAGGTTAGCTTTACCCAAAACATTTACAGGCAAACTCAACTCCGATGTCTTGTCATGCAGGGTAGAGATTAGTCTGAATGTCCTTGCTATAATATAAACCTATAACTACTTACTTGTTTAATAATTTGGTAACCCCCCTTTTTTAGTTTTCACTAAACCCTTTTTGGCAGCAATGAGCAGAAGCATGAATGCATGTTTAGGGAAAATGAGTCATGAAATAATTTTCCAGGAAAGTTGATGAATATACGAATTATATGATTCCTCTGGGCTATGGATTGAATGTGTCCCCCTAAAATTCCTGTGTCAAAGCCCTGACCTCCAGGGTGACTGTAATCAGAGATGGGGCCTCTAAGGAAGTAACTAAGATTAAATGAGCTCCTAAGAAGGGGCACCTGGCCAGCTCAGTCAATAGAGCCTGTGACTCTTGATCTTGGGGTCATGAGTTCAAGTCCCATGTTGGGTGTAGACATAAATAAAAAAACAAAGAAAGGGAACCTAATCTGATAGGATTAGTGTCCTTGTAAGAAGGGGCACTGAGGGTTCTGTGCTCTCTCTCTCCCCGCCTCACACACACACCAAGGAAAGGTCATGTGAGGACTCCGTAAGCTGGTTAAGCATCTGCCTTTGGCTCAGGTCATGATCCCAGAGTCCTAGGATCGAGCCCCATGTTGGGCTCCTCTGCCCTTCCCCCTGCTTGTGCTCTCTGTCTCCCTTTCAAATAAATAAAACTTAAAAAAAGAAAAATATACTGACTATTGTAAATGCCCAAACTTAAAACCAATTTGTTAGTTACACATAATAATTTCAAAAGTTGATTTAACTTTAAGCAAGTGTAACACCATTTTTTAGCCCCAAAATGACTCAGATTGGACAAGAGAGGATATGGTCACCCCCTATAGCTATAGCTCTAGGAGCGGGGTGCCCTACACAAGCTTTGGCCTTTGGTAGATGTATAAAGTCATTGCCAACGTGCAGCCTGGCAATGAGGTATCTAGAGGAATAAATACTCCAACATCTCCCGGTCTACTCCAGTCTCCCGAATCCAATCATAAGAATGTCAGCAGCTGAAGAACAGGGTCTTTTAGTGACTGTTGGTCACTACAGAGGCAGACTGAAGCAGGGAGGCTACCTCTGAACTGAGTAAGATGCCATGCAATTGAGTAATTCAAGGCATAAGAGAAAATCCAAAAAGGGATAAGAAGGTTACATGGAGGGAGGCCTGGGTGGCTCAGTTGGTTAAGCCTCTGCCTTTGGCTCAGCTCAGGACCTCAGGGTCCTGGGATCGAGTCCTGCATCGGTCTCCCTGGTCACTGAGGAGCCTGCTTCTCCCTCTGCTTCCGCAGCCCCCCACCCCCGCTTATGCTTGAGCTCTCTTTGATAAGGAAAAATAAAGTCTTAAAAGGTTACATGGAATTTCCTTTTACTCTTTCAAATGGGCACACAAGCCAATAAGTTCTTTAAAAAACAAAAGTGTTACTTATTTACATGAAAGAGAGAGTGTGAGTAGGAGAGGGACAAAGAATCTGAAGCAGGCTCCCCGCTGAGCAGGAAGCCTGACTCAGGGCTTGATCCCAAGACCCCGGAGATCTTGACCTGCGCCAAAGGCACGTGCTTAACCGACTGAGCCTCCCAGGTGACCCTCAAGCCAGTATATTCTGAAAAATAAAGAAAAAAAACCTTATTTGAGACCCCAGGCTTCTAACTCAGACACACTGGTTAGATAAGGATATGTAGGATATTGGGCACCCTAAAAACTAGAGAATGAAATTCCAGCCTTGTGTATTTGGTAGACTCTGCACCCCCGCCCTGAGGCTGAATGCTCTATTCTATTTTAGCATCCTTCACCAAAATGGTTAAGATTTACTGTTTATTTACCTAAAAAAACATAATCTTGGACCCATTCCTGATGTTAACCATTTCCAACAAGCAAACACTCATGAACGTAAACCCTCTCATCCTTGCCTGCAAAATGGGGCAGGTCACCACCATCCTGTGAAGTAGGTCACCACAAATGGGATCTTGGGCTTGGAAGCACCCATTCAAGCACCTCCACTCACATAGTTCTGCACGGAAGAATACACAGGCTCAGCTACTCCCTCTTCTGTGCTCCAGGCCCACACGGTCTCCACAGATTGACTTCCCACTTCTTCCTCAACCCACTGCTAGTTGTTTCCGTCACTATCCCATCCTACCACAACCGACTGCATCCGGGTTACCTCAAAAGGTTCTCAACAGGAGTAAATCTAGTGTAAATTACAAACCTAACACAGGACCACATCGTACCCCATCATCGTACCCCAGGGATCCTCCTGGCACTTACAATCCCATCTCATACCACCCCTCGTTCAGGTCATACCACACATGCCCACCACACTGCCCTGTCCACCCTTCAGTTCCCAAGACAGGCCATGGGTTTTCCCACCGTAGGAATTTTACAGTGACTCTTCCCTGATTTAAGTATTTTCCCCAGCCAAACTCCTCCTTCAGGTCCAAGTCATTTCCTCAATGAGGCCTTCCCTAATCTGCTACCAATAGCAAACCCCACCCCACCCCACCCCACTCCCAGTACTATCACAGCACCTGGTTCAAGTCCTGGAGAGGAGAAAACACTCTGGAACTCTCTCTCTTTTGGCAGGGGTGGGGGGACTCACTCACTTGCTGCCCATCTGAGATCTACCTCATCAGAATGCAAATATTAGGAAAACAGTACCTGGGACAGGGCCAGGCACTCAAATATTCTGTTGCAAGAACATCAACAAGAAAAGAATATACACTGAGTCCCCATCGCGTGGGATGAGAAAATTTAACAATTTTTCCATCTTTTAGATTCCCATTATTTTTTTTAAAGTTTTTATTTATTTATTTGAGAGAGAGAGAGAGAGAAAAAAAGAGAGATTGGGGGCAGGGGCAGATGGAGGGAATCCCAAGCAGACTCCCCACTAACAGTGAAGCCTGAGTCAGGGCTTGATCTCAGGACCCATGAGATCATGACCTGAGCTGAAATCATGAGTTGGACCCTTAACCGACAGAGCCACCCAGACACCTCAATTCCAATTATGTATTTGGTTTTAGATTTATTTACTTATTTTAGAGAGAGGGAGTGGGGGAGGGAGCAGAGGGAGAGGGAGAAAATCTCAAGCAGACTCCCCGCTGAGCAGGGAGCCCTACACAGGCTTGACCCCCACGACCCTGTGATCGTGACCTGAGCCGAAATTAAGAGTTGGGTGTCAGGGGTGGCTGGGTGGCTCAGTGGGTTAAAGCCTCTGCCTTCGACTCCGGTCGTGGTCCCAGGGTCCTGGGATCGAGCCCCGCATCAGGCTCTCTGCTTAGCGAGGAGCCTGCTTCCTCCTCTCTCCCCCTGCCTGCCTCTCTGCCTACTTGTGATCTCTGTCAAATAAATAAAATCTTTAAAAAAAAAGAGTTGGGTGTCAGTCACTTAACCAACTGAGCCCTTCCCATTACATTAAATTGGAATTTATCTTTGGTCTTTTTCCTTAGGTTTCATAATCAGATTAACAGCAGCTCTTCTGACAATGCTAAGTATGACTGATTAGGCGCTCAGGCCTTTCTAATACATTCTTCTTTTCCACTCTTCAGAGGTCTATTATGCTGATTCACTCAATTTAATTTTGCCGCAGTAAAACCTTTCGCCTGTGCTCTGGGTCCAGCCTCTCTTTTATGCCTCAGGGTCCTGGTTCCATCGGTCCTTCCCACTCTTTCCTGCACCTTTCATCACTACCTTTGGCATTAAAAACACTTTCAAGTGTTTCCCATCTTGAGATGAATTCTCCTAGCAAGGGCTACCGTTGGTGGCGCCTTCCTGTTGGCATGGTTACACGGACCGGGAAATTGACTTCGGAGTTTAGCAATCCCAGGGGCCTTTTCTCCTTGAACGAGCTATTTCTAACTAAACGTGTCTTAAAATCCCAGCTGTCACCAATAATCATCTCTGGGGACTTCCACGGTTACCAACTACAGTCAAGTCCTGACTTTTTTTTTAAGATTTTATTTATTCATTTGACAGAGAGAGATCACAAGTAGGCAGAGAGGCAGGCAGAGAGAGAGGAGGTAGCAGGCTCCCTGCTGAGCAGAGAGCCCAACACGGGGCTCAATCCCAGGACCCCAAGATCATGACCTGAGCTGAAGGCAGAGCCTTACCCACTGAGCCACCCAGGTGCCCCAAGTCCTGACTTTTAAATCCCAGAAAAATGAAGTGGAAAGCTGCCTGGTATGGCTGAACCAACTTCCCCCTTTGGTATTCGAGCTACACAACAGCTGGTTGGGCTTAAACAGGTACCAAAGTTTTACTTCTCTTTGTCTTTCCAAAGCTAGCCTGGCAGAGGGTGGCAAGGTATAGAGTCTGGCTGGGAAAGCATCTTACCCAGGCAGCCTTCCCCAAGTCTCCCCACAGCAGGTGGTCATTCTGTCTTCCCTGCTCAATAATGTTGTTTTCATCATGTTCTTTCAATGTACCCACATGTCCTAGGGAACTCGGGTGGCTCAGCTGGCTAAGTGTCTGCCTTTGGCTCAGGTCATGATCCTAGGGTCCTGGGATTGAGTCCCACATGAGGCTCCTTTTTTTTAAGATCTTATTTTTTTTAAAGATTTTATTTATTTATTTGACAGAGAAAGATCACAAGTAGCCAGAAAGGCAGAGAGGCAGGGTTGGGGGTGGTGAAGCAGGCTCCCACTGAGCAGAAAGCCAGATTCGGGGATTGATCCCAGGACCCCGAGATCATGTTCTGAGCCAAAGGCAGAGGCTTAACCCACTGAGCCACCCAGGAGCCCCTTACATCAGGCTCCTTGCTTGGCAGGGAGCCTGCTTCTCTCTCTGCCTGCTGCTCCCTATGCTTGGCTCTTTCTCGCTCTCTGATAAATAAATAAATCAAATCTTTAAATAAATAAATAAATATAATCTTTTTAAAAAAATGTGCCTACACGTCCATCTCTCCCAATTAGACTATGAACCCTTTACACACAGGGTTTAATAAAGTCTTACTTGTCTTGTCTTGCCACTACCAAGCACTATATCATGAGCTGAGTTAAACTCAACTAGCATAAACAAATTAAGAAATAATCGCTTTAGGCATGAAACAACACAGTTAGACCTGATGATTACAAAGAGAATTCAACAATAGTACACACACACACACACACACACACACACACACACACACGGGAAGTGCTAGAGGAGGTCATCAAGAGGATGTGACCACCAGCTGACCCAGGAAGAGGAGCCTGGGAGCTTGGGGGCTCCTAACCCCCTGCCCTGTCCTGGGAATGTATGTTCTGACCCCCAACTCCCGCAGGTGGAAGTCAAAGCCTGTAGAGAGTAAGGTGTGGCAGAGACCATCTGGACCGTATATGTGACTGAACCCAATTAAGGCATCTATGTAAACTTCTAATATTCTGGCAGATGGGTGCAAAGATCTACTCCTTTTGTGTCCCCACCAGACAAGCTTCGTTTGTAAGTTCCCTTGCTTACTACACCAGCCACCTACCAATCAGGAGTGGCCTGCCTCTTTCCTTGGTCTCCCTGGGCCCTCCATGTGTGGTGCTGTGGGCGGGGCAGGGGGGCAGGCAGAGTTTGCAAGTGAACAGAATATAGTTATATATATATATATGTATATATATATATAATTATACTAATATAATATTAGTATAAGGCTAACTCCAAACTTGGTTTTAAAGCATTTGAAATATTTTTTAAAAGACTTTATTTATTTATTTGACAGACAGAAATCACAAGTAGGCAGAGAGGCAGGCAGAGAGAGAGGGGGAAGCAGGCTTCCTCCTGAGCAGAGAGCCTGATGCAGGGCTCAATCCCAGGACACTGAGATCATGACCTGTGCCGAAGGCAGAGGCTTAACCCGCTGAGCCACCCAGGTGCCCCTGAAATAATTTTTAAAAAAACAGTATCCCTGTGCAGCACCTGGGGTGTTCAGTTGGTTGGACATCTGACTCTTGGTTTTGGCTCAGGTTGTGATCTCAGGGTCCTAGGAATGAGCACATGGGGCTCCGCACTCAGTAGGGAGTCTGCTTCAGGATTCTCTCTCCCTCTCCCCCACTTGCACTCTCTCTAAAATAAATAAATAAATCTTTTAAAAATTCAAATAAAAGAACAAGAATATCCCTGTGTACCTGTATTATTTTTCAGTTAGATTAGAAATTCAGTGCCCATATGAATGGAAAAATGACACAAAACTAGCAACCACATCCAATAAATGAAATGTCAACAAATGACAGCCTCAGTTTCTAAGAACATTATGTCATCTTTCCCTTGCTGCACATTATTTTTGATTCCTAAGGCCCACCTCAAGTACCAAAGAGCCTCTGATTGGAGTGGAGGACACTAGAGAAGTAGTTCTAATCCAAAAATCCTCTTGCCAAATGACATGTTCCAAATCTGACCCCGGAAATGGTGCCCGAAACCATCTCCAAAGCCAGTCAATAAAATTAAAAGGCAAAACCGAATTTTAAATGTTGAACCATGTAAACCGTACCTTTACAAACGACATCTAGAGAGAAGTAGGTTGTGTGATCAATGTAGTTAGTGCCTTCCACGACAGTGGAAACACAGCCAAATGAAACTCTGGCATAGGAGTCCCGGGGCCCACTGCCATGGCAACTGTCACAGAGTGCATCCACCTGTGAGAAAAGGAAACCATTCCAGCAAACATAACGCAGTTTGAAAATGCAGAAACATGCTTAAATCACTGTCGTTCCAGAAGTGGTTGAAACAATTATAATAAACAGTGGTGAACAGAGTTCACCTGACAAATTATCACAGGCATGAGATGATGAAAATAATGAATGAGCTTTTTATCTTTTATTACTTTATTTTTTAGAGCAGTTTAGGAGTATTGAGCTGAAATTTCCCATACATTCTGCCCCTCTGTCCTTAGTGTGCCCTATTACTAGCACCTTGCACTGTTGGACTGGTACATCTGTGTAATTGATGAACCGATACTGATACCATATCTTTAAAGTCCACAGTTTATTTTTTTAAGGTTTTATTTATTTATTTGCCAGAGAGAGAGAGAGCACAAGAGAGCACAAGCAGGAGGAACAGCAGGCAGCGAGAGAGGGGGAAGCAGGCTCCCCGCTGAGCAGAGAGCCTGATGTGGGGCTTGATCCCAGGACCCTGAGATCATGACCTGAGCCTGAGGCAGATGCTTAACCCCCAGAGCCACCCAGACGTCCCTAAAGTCTATAGTTTAAATGAAGGTTCACTCTTAGTGTTATCTTTCATATATATTTTTTAAGATTTTATTTATTTTGAGAGTGAGCGAGCTGGAGGAGGGGCAGAGGCAGAGGGAGAGAGAGAATCTTAAGCAGGCTCCACACCCAGTATGGTGCCCAATGTGGGGCTCAATCTCACGACCCTGAAATCATGACCTGAGCCAAAATCCAGAGTCTGATGCTTAACTGACTGAACCACCCAGGCGTCCCTGTTCTGTCATATAGTTTTTAAATGTGTCTGAAAACATACTTTGTGTACCAACCAAGTTCAATGCACTGATAGTACTAGATTCAAAGGTAGGAGATACACTGTTCCTGCCTTCCAGCAAGTCACAATTCAAGGGGAATAAAAGACAAAAATCAGTTATCCAGTGTAAGTTATGACAAATGATAAAACCAAATGCAAATGTAGGCTTCTGGGAATTCCCAGTAGGGAGAGAATTTCAGGTGAAAGAACATAGGACACAGTCTTGGAGAGAGTGGGATCTGACATGGGCTGTGAGAGAAGAGAATGATTTTTACCTGGCAAATGGAGGCAGGGTTAAGGACAGGGATAGGAAGATGGCAGGGGGAGAGACACAACACATTCCAAGTTAGAGGAACAAGGAAGAAAACTAAGATTCCAGATCAGTGCACCCAGAAGGCAAAACATGAAATATACAGTTGGGAAAATAACAGGGGAAGGGAGAAGCTCTAAAACGACAAAGACTTAATTTATCTACAATAGGGAGGCATTCAAAACCTTTATTACTGGAAGTACAGTGCCTTCATTTTGTATTTTGTTTTTCTTCTTTTTTTTTTTTTGAGAGAGAGAGCGCGTGTGTGTATACGTGGTGGGGACGGGAGGCAGAGGGAGAGGGAGAGAGAGACTCTCAAACAGGCCCCTCCCTGAGCACAGAGCCCCACGTGGAGCCTGAAGCGGAGCCTCATGCCGGGCTGGGACCCCACCACCCTGAGATCATGACCCGAGCCGAAATCAAGAGTTGTCCTCTTAAGTGACTGAGCCACCCAGGCATCCCGTTGCTTTTCTAACTGTGCAAATAATACATATTCATTATAGAAATACATGAGACAGAGAAAGAAGCAAAAAACTACACATAATTCACAAAATCTACTACCTACCTAAAGATAAACACTGACCCCATTCTGGTACTGACCCTGCTCCAGATGTCTGTACTATGCATAAATATCTATGCACTTTTTTTTAAGATTTTATTTATTTGACAGAGATCACAAGTAGGCAGAGAGAGAGGAGGAAGCAGGCTCCCTGCTAAGCAGAGAGCCTGATGCAGGGCTCGATCCCAGGACCCTGGGATCATGACCTGAGCCCAAGGCAGAGGCTTCAACCCACTGAACCACCCCATCTATGCACTTTTTTAAAAAAGATTTTATTGATTTATTTGACAGAGAGAGACACAGTGAGAGAGGGAACACAAGCAGAGGGAGTGGGAGGAGAAGCAGGCTTCGCCAAGCAGAGAGCCCGATGTGAACCTCGAGCCCAGGATCCAGGAATTGTGACCTGAGCCGAAGGCAGGCACTTAACGACTGAGCCACCCAGGCGGCACCCTATGCACTATTTTAAGGGAAAATTTAGTATTATATGTATTATTGATTTATTACCAAATGACTGCAAATATGTCGATAGACTGTTGAAACATTATTTTATTTTTTTTAAGATTTTATTTATTTATTTGTTAGAGAGAGGTAGAGGGAGAAACAGACTCCCAGCTGAGCAGAGACCCTGATGCAGGGCTCGATCCTAGGACCCTGGGATCATGACCTGAGCCAAAGGCAGAGGCTTTAACCCACTGAGCCATCCAGGTGCCCTCATGAAGTTTCTAATGGAAACTTGATCCATGGAGGTGTCAATTCATTCTTATGGGGCTTTTGTTTTTGTTTTTAATAGCCTAAGTCACGGCCTATTTCCATTTCTCTGTCTAGGCATTTCCAGCTGCCAAGGCCAATCTCATGGTCAGTTCCCCCTCATTCATTTTCAGCAAGGAATTAAGCACCAGGCTCCCAACTACAGCCCCACCACCACTTCTGTCAATATCCAAATGGATGACCTCGAAGACCCTGTCCTCTCTGTTCCTGACTCTCTACTAACCACCACACGGAGTAAACATGCCTTCTCACAATCTGAACCTAGCTGTCCACACCCCACAACTAGAACACTGGTAGGTTATTTTTTAAATTACAAATAGTTTATGTTCATTAATGCAGAAACAGTGAACACAGATATTTTCTCTGAGCAAATAAAGGCCACTGGACAAGGCCTCCGGTATCAACTTCCTGGCATCTATCCTGGATTTCTCTGCCTTCCCTCATACAACAGTGGAGGGACACCCAAGCGCCTTACCCAAGACCAACCCCCCAGCTGGGCACATGGTACCACTCTGTCTTGTCTCTGTGTCTTCCCTCTATATGAACAGATTTTCCTCTTCTTTTTTTTTATTTTTATTTATTTTTTTAAAGATTTTATTTATTTATTTTATTTTTTTTTAAAGATTTTATTTATTTATTTGACAGACAGAGAACACAAGTAGGCAGAGAAGCAGGCAGAGAGAGAGAGAGAGAAGCAGGCTCTGCACTGAGCAGAGAGCCCGATGCGGGGTTTGATCCCAGGACCCTGGGATCACGACCCGAGCCGAAGGCAGAGGTTTCAACCACTGAGCCACCCAGGCGCCCCTCCTCTTTTTTTTTTTTTAATTTTACTTATTTATTTGACAGAAAGAGACAGAGCGAGAGAGGGAACACAAGCAGGGGGAGTGGGAGAGGGAGAAGCAGGCATCCCGCTGAGCAGGGAGCCCAATGTGGGGCTCGATCCTAGGACCCTGGAATCATGACCTGAGCCATAGGCAGACGCTTAAAGACCACCCAGGCGCCCCAATTTTTCTCTTTCTAATGAATCCATATACAAACATTCTCTAGACCTTCCTCTTTCTTTCTGGTAAGTATCTTTGTTAATTTTATCGCGTTTACCTTAAACTTATAATCAACTCAAAAACCGAAGTTTTTAAATATCCTTTTCATCCAGAAGCAGTCTGGTTTTCCATTCAATCAGTTCTCTTTCTATTGCCATCAGGAATGTTTTGTAGCTGTCTTCATTGTTTTTGTTTTATTTTTATTTTCTTAATTCTAGTACAGGTGATCTACACTGTTTTATGAGCTGCAGGCATACAATACAGTGATACAATTCCATACATTACTCACTGCTCATCATAAGGGTACTCTTAGTCCTTCTTTTAAAAAAAAAAACCTCCCTTGATCCTATTTCTCCTTCAGTCTCATTTCTTTGCTCCTCCTCCCAGCAAAAGACATTTAAACATTCATCTATACTCACCTCCCCATCTCCCATCAGCTCCTCACTGCTCTCCTATCAGGCCTTATATCCCCAATATGCCTCTGAAACTGCTCTTAAAATCACCAGCAAGGTTGCCAAATCCAACAGTCCATTTTCTCCGCTCCCATCACTCAACCTCTTAGCATTTGATCCAACTGGAAAACCTTGCCTGGCTTCGATGTGACCCCCCTCTCCTGGAGAGGCTCCATCTCAGCCTCCTCTGTTAACACTCCCTTCCTGTTTCCTGTCCTTGAGCTGAATACACCAAGTTACAGACATAGTGTCCCGTCAGTATCTCAAGCCCAACATGGACAAAACTTAATATATTCTGAACTTCCCAGAAAAAAAACTGCACTCCCCCCCATCTTCTACAACTCAGAAAATGGCAAGTTCCGCTCACCTGCACAAGATGGGCGCATTCCAGTATATAAAAATTAAGCTGCACGGGCACCTGGGTGGCTCAGTGGGTTAAAGCCTCTGCCTTCGGCTCAGGTCATGACCCCAGAGTCCTGGGATGGAGCCCCATATCCGGCTCTCTGCTCAGCGGGGAGCCTGCTTCCTCCTCTCTCTCTCTCCCTGACTCTCTGCCTACTTGTGATCGCTCTCTGTCAAATAAATAAATAAAATCTTAAAAAAAAATTAAACTGCACAAAGTCAAAAGACAGCCTTGGAGGAAATACTGGCAAAACATTCATATGAGGGGTGCCTGAGTGGCTCAGCTGGTTAAGCATCTGTCTTTGGCTCTGGTCACGATCCCAGGGTCCTGGGATTAAGCTCATGTTGGCGGGGGGGGGGGGGGTTGTCCCTGCTTAGTGGGAAGCCTGCTTCTCCCTCTCCCACTCCCCCTGCTTGAGTTAAAAAATAAAAATTTAAAAAAGCTCATATGAGAAATTTCCCAACAAAACTCTCATTCCCATAACATAAACAGCTCTAATGCTCCTACTGTGGAAATGGCTCTCAGAAGAGAAACGTTGCTGTACTCTCCCCAACACTTACAGAAATGCAAAATAAAATTGTGAGACTGTTTTTTTTTTCAAGATTGGCAAATATTTCAAAGATTGAAATATTTCCATCCTTCTTAATATTGGCACAGGAATTTTCCACAGCCGGCTGTTGACAGTGCTAATTGGTAAAATAAAGCTGAAGCATAATTTGATGATGATATCTATTAAAATGGTAAATATCAGAGCACCTGGGTGACTCAGTGATTAAGCATCTTCCTTCGCCTCAGGGTATGATCCTGGGGTTCTGGGATGGAGCCCCGCATCAGGCTCCTAGCTCAGGGGGAAGCCTGCTTCTCCCTCTCCCACTCCCCCTGCCTGTGTTCCCTCTGTCGCTGTCTCTCTCTCTCTCTGTCAAATAAATAAATAAAATCTTTAAAACATGGTAAATATCTTCACTGAGGTGACAGTTGCATGACTAAATGCAACTGCATTTACTAAAAACATCCAGGAACTATGCCTTTAAAAAATGAGAATCTTGGGGCCCCTGGGTGGCTCAGGGGGTTAAGCATGTCACTCTTGGTCTCAGCTTAGGTCTTGATACCAGGGTTGTGTTCAAGCCCCATGGGGATCCTACTTAAAACAAGTGGAGAATCGGGGGATTTGGAGGGTAGAAAAAGAATAAATGAAACAAGATGGGATCTGGAGGGAGACAAACTATAAGAGACTCTTAATCTCACAAAACAAACTGAGGGTAGCTGAGGGCAGGGGGGTAGGGAGGGGGGGTGGGGTTATGGACATTGGGGGGGTGTGCTATGGTGAGTGCTGTGAAGTGTGTAAACCTGGCGATTCACAGACCTGTACACCTGGGGCTAGTAATACAGTATATGTTTATTAAATAAATAAATAAATAAATAAAAATAAATTTTTAAAAAGTAGAGAATCTTATGGTAAGTGTGTTGTACCTCAATACTGCTCTTTTTTTAATTTTTAGATTTTATTTTTAAAAAATATGGAACGCTTCACGAATTTGCGTGTCATCCTTGTGCAGGGGCCATGCTAATCTTTTCTGTATCGTTCCAATTTTAGTATATGTGCTGCCGAAGCGAGCACAATACTGCTCTTTTTAAAAAGTGGTTAAAATGAGTGGCTCAGTGGGTTAAGCATCTGCCTTTGGCTCAGGTCACGATCTCACAGTCCTGGGATTGAGCCCCACATCGACCCCCCCTTGGGCTCCTTGCTCAGTGGGGAACCTGCTTCTCCCTCTCCCTCTCCGCACCCCCCCCCATTTTCTGTCCCCGTCTCTCTCTCAAATAAATAAATAAAACGTTTAAAAAAACTGGTTAGGGCACCGGGGAAGCTCAGTTGGTTAAGCAACTACCTTCAGCTTAGGTCGTGATCCTGGAGTTCCAGGATCGAGTCCCACATCGGGCTCCCTGCTCAGCAGGGAGTCTGCTTCTCCCTCTGACCCTCTCCCCTCTCATGCTCTCTCTCACACTTTCTCTCAAGTACATAAATAAAATCTTTAAAAAAAATTGGATAAAATGCATGTCTGTTCACCTAGCAATTACAGTTCAACAAAATCAACAATCCTTTACAAGGCTGAAAAAAAGAAGTTGCAGAATAATATAGACTCTAGGGGCACCTGGGTGGCTCAGTGAGTTAAGCCTCTGCTTTTGGCTTGGGTCATGATCTCAGGTCCTGGGATCTGAGCCCACATTGGGCTCTCTGCTCATCAGCAGGGAGCCTGCTTTCCCCTCTCTCTCTGCCTGCCGCTATGCCTACTTGTGATCTCGCTCTCTGTGTCAAATAAATAAATAAAATCTTTTTAAATAGAATAATATAGACTCTAGTAAATTATTATCGCTAACCACATTTTTAAATGCTGAAGAATAGATATACAATTTAAACTTTTGTAAGCAGAAACCACTACAAAGCTAAGACCAAGTATCCCACACAAGGCAGTGAAGTAGACTTCAAATCCCAGTGTCTACTCACCAGACCAGGTCATCTAGAGAGGCCCAATAACCAGAAGCAAGGCTGAAAGTCCCCCAGGGATAAAGCCGGTCCCCAAACTCATACTAATCTTACTTTGATTGCTTTCAATCCATATGTTTTATCTTTTCCCACAATGGCAGTGACTTCTTGTCCAACCTTCAGAGGGACATCGCCAGTCACAACATCACTACTGAAGTAGATCAATTCATCAATCAAACCATAATCACTACAAATATTCGTCACAACTCCTTGCACAGTTTTCAACCTGGTGGCACCTAAAAGATGGGGAAACAAAACATTCCATTAGTTAACGTCCAAAGCGAATTACACATAAGTAAGCCCTACCACAGGAAGTCCTGGTAGACGACGATCTAAATTGAGAAAGAAATTAGATGTAGCTTGAGATACAGAAGACTGTGACAGAGGAACATAGTGATTAAGTGTTTGGGAGGCAGAACACTGACGTTGAAAGGTTGGTGCCACCATTTCTCTGTATGGCACAGCGGCCCAATGCCCTCAGTAGAGGAGCTCTGCTGGAGAAGGCAGAGTCTGGAACCTGCCTGCCTGGGCATGAACACAGCTCTTCCCTTTACCATCTGTGTAACCCTGGGCACATTTCCTAACCTCCCAGAATTTGTTTTCATCTGTAAAACCAGGGCATTACTAATGTCTGCCTAGGAGAGCACATCTTAAATGTTCTCATTGCGCACACACACGTGATAATTACATAAGGTGACGGACGGCTTAATGAACCTTACTGTGCAATCATTTCACAATACATACAAATAACAAGTCATCACCCGCACCTTAAACTTACAGTGTTCTACATAATTATGTCTCAGTAAAGTGGAGGGGGAAAGGGTTGTTTTAATTAGGAACTGACACATCTGTGTCAACAGCTTAAAACGGTGAATCCCTCCCTCTGGTTAGAGCTTACATGTTAGTTGTTGTCATGGTTTCTGCATCTAGAGAGTCTTTAAACAGCCATTATTGTTACTGAATTTTATCCTTATCGACAAGAGCAGCAGAAGCAGGGGGAGATTATGCAAACATCTCACCAGACAAAAGCACATAAAGAGATCTGAGGGTTTAAATCTAGCTCAAATGCACATCCAAAACACTCAGGTTTATTTTTTTTTTTCCTTGAACACAGCTAGCAAGCCATAATTTGGGATCTGAACCTAGAGAGTAAGTCTGCAGAGCCCACAACGAACCACAAAGCTTCGGTGCCTGCCCAAAAATGAGACTGGGAGAAACAGACAAGGAGGCTGGGAGAAACACTGATTATAAATTGATTATGGTTTCAAGAAGCCAAAAAGAAAAATCTGAGAACTTTTATTTAAATATTTTATTTATTTGAGACAGACTGTGCCCACGGATGAGGGACAAGGGCAGAGGCAGAGGGAGAAGCAGACTCTGTGAGCAGGGAGCCCGAGTCGGGGCTCGATTCCAGAACCCCGACCTCACGATCTGAGCTGACGTCAGCCGCTTAACCGACTGAGCCACCCAGGCGCCCCCTGAAACCTCTTTTAAAATGGGTCAAATTCGTCAAGTCAAGTCATAAAACACAAGAAAAGTGAAAGGGCCAAGAGTGACTGACAACTGCCCCTTAGGCTCAAGAAAGTATGTCAGAAACTCTTCTGTATTGCCCCATGTGCAAAAATACGGCAAACGGGCGCCCGAGCGGCTCAGCAGGTTGGGCATCTGCCTTCTGCTGGGGGTCGTGATCCTGGAGTCCTGGGATCGAGCCCCGTGCCGGGCTCCCTGCTCGGCGGGGAGCCTGCTTCTCCCTCTCCCTCTCTCTCTGTTAAATGAATAAAATCTTTAAAATAAGTGTGGCTGACGGATGCAGTGGCGAGAGCTTCCCGGGGGAGAGGAGCTGCTGGCAGATTCAGGCACCTGGCAGGACCGGGCACTGCTGGGGGGGGGGAGGGATGACGCCGACCACAGACGGGACCCTCCTGAGCCTGCCGTGCTCATCCTGCGGAAGGAGGCGGGGGCGGGCGATTGGAGCCACAGGAAGAAATGGCTGCTGGGCCTCGGGGTCTGGGTGACTCCAGCTCGGTGCCCGCTCTCCCCTGGGCATGCGTCCCCTGCCTCCCGCTGTAACCGGGACGTGAGGATGCTCCCACTTCCCTGCAGGGTTTTCCGAGGGCCATGTGACAGTAATGGTCAGACGGCCCTGAGTCTGGTGCTTGGCAGAGACACGGGCTCGGATCATCGGATTCATGCTTCAGGGCAGGACTGCCGCCAACCCTGGCGAAATTATTGGTGTTCACGGGTGCCCCCGATACAGCAATGCCTGCCCTGGTGTCCCCTGAGTCACCACCCCCTCAGTCCCCGACTCTGGGGCAGGATTTCAGGATATAAAGGGCAGCCACTTCCATGTGGCCCCAGGCATGCTTCCAGCGACTGACCTAGAATTTGACCACTTGGCTTCAAATACATGTGTGTTTAAGAAACGAAATTGAATGCACCCTCTAATCTGGGTGATCCACTGCTAGTGGAAATATGAAAAGGAATCGGTTGTACCTTACATGACATATGCACAAGGTTAAGTTCCAAAGGCACGGGGGGAAGTGCAAGGGTGGGGCACGGCTCCCCAGGGGCCTTCTCTGTCTACACCACCATCGATCACTTTGGACAGGAGGGTTCTGGGTATGCTCAGGAACTCGGGGATGCCTCTTCCCACAAGGAGGCGCTGCCACGCCCATGCAGCCCCCTTCTGAGCGCCTGAGGCTCTGAATCAGGGGAGGGGAGCACCCTTAGGTGCAGGCCTCTGAGAGGGAGAAGACGAAAATGAATACCTTCCAAGAGCCTCATATGCTGCTCCCTCTCGGCCTCCGACGAGTCCACCCTCCTCCGGAAGAAGGCAAGAACTCTGGAAATAAACCGAAGCATGGTCGCTTCGTCAGGGCAGCCCAGACCCCTCAGACACAGCGCCAAGCTCGCTTCCGTGGAAGTCTCTGCCACCCGGTCGCTCTCTGATCGCAGCGGCTGGTCAGACACCGTGCCCAGCCCTCCACACCACCGTACGTCTAGCGGAGGGTCTACACGAACCTTGCTGTGGGCAGAAACCCGAGGGCCTCAACCTGCCGCGTGCCCACCACCCAGCCAATGGGGGCGTAGTGTGCTCAGTGGAAGCCACCCAGAGGCTGTGAGCCGATGGGCGGGACTTCGTGGCTCCTCCCACCACAGGCGAGGGCGGAAATGTGGTGGCCCACCGGGAATCACTTCCAATGCGACCTATTTTGCACCTCTTAGAATAGAGGGTCTCTGTGCGCTGCTGCGGGGAAGGCCTGATGCCTGTCTTGGAAGGTGGCCAGGCAACTTACCCCAAAGTTGGAGGCAGGCCCCCAGGCTCTGGCTCCCGGGTGTGGGGCCCCCATTCATCGCTGCATGAATGCTTTTCTCTTCCTTGGCCTCTAAGCCCCCTGCACCACCAGCCCCCATCAGCCCTACCTCCTCACCCCTGCACGCATTCCACGGGGAGGTCAGTGGTCCGCTCTAAGCAAAGGCTTTCAGTTCAGTGTTCAGTGATACCACAGATATGGTGGAAAAGCCGAACTTGCCATCTGCATGGGTCTCAAGCCATAGGCTGTGTCTTGCTCTCCTTGGAAGGGAGCCAACGGTGCCAAAACACTCACTATGGGGCTGACAGCCACTTTTAAGTACAATATGAAGATGAGGATGGCTGAGTCAGGAGGGCCGGGTGATGGAGCATGAGGCAGGGAGTTTGGGTCGCATCACTAGTCTTTTCTTTGGGGGACCAGGCAGACATTACATTAAGAATGTTAGTTGAAAAAAAAAATAAATATTGTAACAGCAAAATGAGTTTATTTGGGAACAGCAGACCAGTTGCAATTCAGGGTGGGTACACGAACCACGGTGAACTTTAAGCCAGTACAGAGTACAACAAAAAGCTTTCTTTGATAGAGGAGAGGAAGTTGGGATGGGTGGTTTTGAAAGAAACTCATTAGGGGAGAGTGAGAATCCAAGGTTGTGATGGCTTCTGGTTGGCTGAAAGGTGGCAGTTTCTCATTGGTGGGGCTGTTGCTGAGCCCGGAGGAAATCTTTCCTCCTCCTGCTGCCATAGTAAAGCAGGCTCCCGCCTGTTGGGGGCTGAAAATGTTGCTGAGAAGTGGTAGTGAGTGAGGGCTCCCATTTAGGGCTTCCCCACTTCTTCTTAAATGAGGTTGCCTTTATTCATTTTTATATTTCCCCTTTGATCAAGATCTTCCCTCAAAAGCATCACTGATCAAGAGTCAGGTTTGCCACATTTAGTGGTTTTGTCCCTCAGTAACAGGGAGGACCTTCCCTCGTTGCCATATCTAACATCAGAGGGCAACCATTGAGATCACACTTAGTAACAAGGAAGGGCAGGAGGGAGAGCTCTCAGGCATTCATGTCTAAAGTGTTTATTTTGGGGAGCCTGGGTGGTTCAGTTGGTTAGGTGGCTGCCTTTAGATTAAGGTCATGATCTTGGGGTCCTGGGATCAAGCCCCACGTAGGGCTCCCTGCTCAGCTGGAAGCCTGCAAGCCTACTTCTCCCTCTCCTCCCTGGTTTGTGCTTTCTGTTGCTATCTCTGTCTCTCTCTCACATAAATAAATAAAATCTTAAAAAAATAATAAACTAAAGTGTGTATCTTATCAGGTTTCTAGGCATTGGAGATTGTCTCAAAATGTTGGGCTAGCATCACCCTGTTAGGCATGTTGTTTCTACAGAGGTTTATCAGTCTCATATACAAAGCTTAAAAATAAAGCAGAATTAAATCACCTTGACAAATCCAGATTGAGCAATTGTTCTAAACCTAGAGCCCCAGCCTGTGGAGTGGAGGTTTAATGGGATGGGCCAATGGGAAGCTTCTGCTTTATTATGGATGTGGACAGGGATGGCTAACCAACCCAATAAACATTGACCTCCAGTTCCCAACTATCTAGTTATATGTCCATGGGGTATGCCATCCACAGCCAGACAAAAATGAAACCAGGCAGAGCTCAGAGTACTCTAGCTGGGGTCTGGGGTCTGGTTATTGATAGATCCATGAGTCAGAATTTCCTGATTGACACTTTCAAGCTGGGAATCAGAGGAGTTGGGATGACGTCCTATGAAAGGCCATCCCATCCTCAAAGAGTCCTTTCTAAAAATCCTGCAAAGAGGAACTAGCTAATTTGTATTTCCTCTGGGTGCAGGGATACAGGACACACTTAGATAAGGAAAAGGGCATGCATGACATGGCGAAGATTATACAATTGGCAAAGATGGAGGGATTTAACTGAACCAGGACAGTTATGGCTAAAGAAAGATGGAGACAAGGTATGGGGACAGTGGGCCATGATAGTGTAACTTGATAGGTAACATCCATAAGTCTGTGGGTATAATTGGAAGTGACATTTGGGACTAAGGACACATTGGTGATGGGTAAGACCAAGGGATCTCTTACACCATGAACAGATCCAGCAGTTTGAAAGCTTTCCCGTTTTTACAATAGATTCGATAAGAGTGTTATTTTCCCAAGAATGAGAGGGAGAAAATAAAGTAAAAAGCAGCAGTAAGAAAATGGTATGTTTTACACATAATATCTGATCATAGCTCACCGACACTGACAATTTAAACCACTTCCAGTGAAGTGTAGAAATCTTGCTTTCATTTAGGTCTATTGAATCTTTTCACTTTTTAAAAAAACCTGTGCACAGGGGTGCCTGGGTGGCTCAGTGGGTTAAAGCCTCTGCCTTCAGCTCAGGTCATGGTCCCAGGGTCATGGGATTGAGCCCCGCATTGGGCTCTCTGCTCAGTGGGGAGCCTGCTTACCCCTCTCTCTCTCTGCCTGCCTCTCTGCCTACTTGTGATCTCTGTCTGTTAAATAAAATCTAAAAAAATAAAAAATAAAAAATAGGGGCGCCTGGGTGGCTCAGTGGGTTAAGCCTCTGACTACGGCTCAGGTCATGATCTCAGGGTCCTGGGATGGAGCCCCGCATCGGGCTCTCTGCTCAACAGGGAGGGTGCTTCCCCTTCTCTCTCTGCCTGCCTCTCCACCTACTTGTGATCTCTCTCTCTCTCTCTCTGTCAAATAAATAAATAAAATCTCTTAAAAAAATAAAAATAAAAAAATAAAAAAATAAACCCTGTGCACATTTTAAAAATATTTTATTTATTTGCTTATTTGAAAGGGCGCTCATAGGGGAATGGCAGAGAGTGATCCTAAGCAGGCTCCATGCCGAGGGCAGAGCCCAATGCAGGGCCAGGTCTCATGACCTGAGCCCAAACCAGAGCCCATTGCTTAACTCACTGAGCCACCCACTCACCCCAATCTTTACACTTTTAAATATAAATGTCAAGTATTTCCTCCACATCAGATAACATAATTTTTGCTTCAACCATCAAAATAATTATAAAAACTCAAGAGGAAGATGGTTTATTATATTTTCTCCTATTTTTATGCATTCCAATTACTCTTTTTCCTTCCTAAATTAGTGCCATCCTCCTTGGGTGATCACTTCCGTTCTGTTTAGGAAACCTCTTAGCTGTTATATTTTTATTTACTTATTTGACACAGAGAGAGAGATCACAAGTAGGCAGAGAGGCAGGCAGGGCAGGGGGGCGGGAAGCAGGCTCCCTTTTGAGCAGAGAGCCCGATGTGGGCTCAGATCCCAGGACCTGAGATCATGACCTGAGCTGAAGGCAGAGGCTTACCCAATGAGCTTCACAGGCGCCCCAGCTGTTATTTTTTTTAAGATTTATTTATTTATTTTGAGAGAGTGTGCACCCACAGCGGGGGAGCGTCAGGGGCCAGAGAATCTCTAGCTGATGAGCGTAGAGCCTGATATGCAGCTCTTGGTCTCTTGACCCCGAGACTCTGACCTGAGCCAAAACAAGAGTTGGTTGCTCAACTGACTGAGCCACCCAGGCACCCCCTCTTAGCCATTCTTTCACGGTATGTCTACTGGTCAAAATTTCTCTTAATTTTCCTTCATCTGAGAATGGCTTTATTTCCGCTTCATTTCAGAAGGATGTATGCTCAGAGATGGAATTTGTGTTCAGGTGGTAAAGTGAACCACTGATTAGTTCTGCTCGTCACCACCTCCTTCTGTTTCTTTGATGCTTCCGGTTTGCCTTTTTCCCCTTGAGCAAGTAGGAAGGAATTGCCAGATCAGTATATATGACTTTGCTGAGTTCCTTAAACAGTTCTGGAGAGCCCCCCGAGATGTTCAAGTGCATTTTCAGAGTCTAAATACTCAAGCCAGCTCTCCCTGTTAAAGGAATCTATTTCTTGCAGACAGCTTTTTTAAAAGTTGTATGTATAAGCAAGCCTGCGTATTTCCACAATTTATTAAATGGTCTTAAAAATGATCAAGCTTGGGGTGCCTGGGTGGCTCAGTGTGTTAAGTGTCTGCCTTCGACTCGGGTCATGATCCCAGGGTCCTGGGAATGAGCCCTGCATCGCACTGGGCTCCCAGCTCAGTGGGGAGCCTGCTTCTCCCTCTCCTTCTGCCTGCTGCTCCTTCTGCTTGTGCTCTCTCTTTCTCTGTCAAATAAATAAAATCTTTAAAAGAATGATCAAGCTTGAGCTGGATTTGGCTTAGAATAAAGATTAGATGAAACCACAGAAGTGCTTCTAAGCACAACAGCAAGAAATGCTATGAACAAAGGCCGACAAAAACATGAGAAGACTCCTTACAGTGTCCAGGGCCAACAATGGGTTAAGAGGAGTCCTTAGAAATGACTATGTGGTTTGAAGGAATTCAGGATATGCCACGCCAAAATATGCCACTTTGGTATATTATTTCGAGCTAAAAAAGCACTCGAAAAACAACAAACACAGGGAGAAGCTTTCTCTGAAACCCCTGTGAAAATTAATAACCTCATCTGAAGTGGAGTCAGGAAGGGCGCCTGAGTGGCTCAGGTGGCTGGGTCTCCACCTTAGGCTTGAGTCATGATCCTGGGGTCCTGGGATTGAGCCCCATGTTAGACACCCTGTTCAGCCGAGAGCCTGCTTCTCCCTCTCCCTCTGCTGCTCTCCCTGCTGGTGCTCTGTCTCTCCCTCTCAAATGCATAAATAAAATCTTAAAAATAAAGAAATAAGTAAAAATTAAGTAGAGTCAGGAGACCAGAAAGGGGAGCTCTTCGGTCCTACCATTCCTTATGCATTGCAGATGCCAACAGAAAAGACATACCTTGCAAATAAGACTGCATTAGCTATTACTATCCCAGCGGGAAAATAAAGGTGTCTTCCCTTCCCTCTCCCCCAACAGCCCAGCCAATGGGAGGCAGTCATATAACTCAAGGCGATGAAAAGCTACTTACTATACTGGAAACCCCGAGCTTACTCTAACGGACTTTTTGTTTCCAACAGCAATCCCAGTCTCCCCCTTTCCTCTATAAAAGGGCCTTCTTGGGGCACCTGGGTGGCTTGGTGAGTTAAGCATCTGCCTTCGGCTCAGGTCATGATCCCAGGATCTTGGGATACAGCTCCAAGTCCGGATCCCTGTTCAGCAGGGGAGTCAGCTACTGCCTCTCCCCCTGACTCTGCTCCTGTGCTCTCTTGCTCACTCTCTCTCAAATAAATAAATAAAATATTTTTTAAAAAGCCTTCCTTTCTTTTGTTCTCCAGATTTCCCTGCCATTAAGCCCTTGTTTCCTTGACCTTCGTTGTAATTCTCTCCTATTCCCACATAAACATATTTTTGCTGGGAAACACTATTTTAAGATTAACATCCCCTTATGGGCCTGAAGATAGATCCTCCAAAAGGAACTCAATTGTCGTAAAACCCCTCCTTAGAAATTTCATCAACCGGGGAAACTGATTCTGACCACAGGCCGGGAAATGAGAATTCCACACCACATCCAAATTCTGTCACAAACTATCATATCTCCTATCTATTCTAACTAAGAACACACTAGTGTTTCCTAAAGGTATTTAGTCTCCCCTAAATTGCCAACATCTCTGTTCTCCCTCCCCTATTCAGATGGTATATAAGCTTTCAGATCTCACTGCCTCTCTAAGTGTTCACTTTTTTTTTTCCCCTGTGATGTCTCCATGCAAGTAATATCAAAAATTAATAGATGTGTATATCTTTTCCGCAGTTAATCTGCCTGTTGTTGATTTCTTTCAAAACCTAGGATGTAGGGGCGCCTGGGTGGCTCAGCGGGTTAAGCCTCTGCCTTCTGCTGGGGTCATGACCTCAGGGTCCTAGGATCCAGCCCCATATCGGGTTCTCCGCTCATCGGGGAGCCTGCTTTCCCTCTCTCTCTGTCTGCTGCTCTGCCTACTTGTGATCTCTCTCCCTCTGTCAAATAAATAAATAAAATCTTTTTAAAAAACACCTAGGATGTGTGTACAAATAGAATCTTAAGAGTATAGAGGGAAAGTTTTCCTCCTTAACAGGTAAAATTAGAACAATGGGATAATTATATACATGACCAGCAAATATACCAAAAAGAAAAAAAAGGGCCATGCTTTCCTGAAACTCTTCAGTGCCGCTGAATTAGCAGTGATCTGCGAATTGAAGAAAGGTACAATGGGTTGCCTGGCCGGGTTTTGTGCGGAGACAGTGGGGAAGGTGGATACAGTAAACAGGCGGGGTGGGGGGCCTTCTCAGTAGGCCCTCTGCTCCGAAAGAGCGTAGTGGTCCAAACACTCCTTCCCCCCTCGCCCTCCCACCCCCCCGCGACCGCTCCGCTCAAGGACACGCCCCAAAAGCGATCCCTGGGGATACCACCTTCCAACCCCTTCCTGGCCTCGGGCTCGGCCCTTGGGCGCCCAGGAGGAGGCGGGGCTCGCTGGCGGGGCAGTCCCGTGGGCGGTCCCAGGCCGGCGGCGCCCGGGAGGGGGCGTGGCCACACGAGGGGCGTGGTTACGCTGGCGGCGGCTGCCCCGGCGGCCGGCGAGGGGCGGGGCTCGCCCTAGGCTGCTCCGGAGGGGCGGCGGCGGAGGCGTGGAGGCAGCGGCGGAGGCTGCATCCCCGACCCAGCCAGGGAAGGAGTGACCGGGGACGGGGCGGGAGGGCACCGGTGGCCGGCGGGGCGCCTCAGGCCTCGCGTCCACCTGCCCGGCCGCACGCTCTCCCCTGGGTCGGCGGGGCCTGCGCCGGCCCGGACCCATGGCGGCGTCGGCGGCTCTGTCGGCGGCGGCGGCGGCGGCGGCCCTGTCGGGCCTGGCGGTGCGGCTGTCGCGCTCGGCGGCGGCCCGCGGCTCGTACGGCGCCTTCTGCAAGGGGCTCACGCGCACGCTGATCACCTTCTTCGACCTGGCCTGGCGGCTGCGCATGAACTTCCCCTACTTCTACGTGGTGGCCTCGGTGATGCTCAACGTCCGCCTGCAGGTGCGGATCGAGTGAGCGGGCGCCGCCGCAGCCCCCGCCGGAGAGTCCCGCGCGCCGGGCCGCGCCGGGCAGGGGCGCCGGCATGGAGGACGGCCGGCGGGACGCGGCGGGGGCAGGAGGCGGGGCGGCCCGGGCCCCCGGGCCCTAGACCTCCGCGGGGGGGGCGCTGGCCACCCGGCCGCCCAGCCACCCGGCCGGGCCCCGGCCACGACCGGCCGCCCGCCCGCGGCGTGGCCGGTGACCTATTGCACAGAAACTCTGCCAACGGGCCCTTACTGTCGGGCTCGAGGGGAAAAAACCAAACAAACCAAAAAACGATTTGAGGGCGGCCGACCTGTTGCCTCACTTTGGCCAGAGCCGGGGAAGCCGCAAGGAAAAATTCTGCAGCAGGGACTTGACTGGCCCCGATCCACAAGGTAGGAGGCCAGAGGCTGGACCCGCGGGCTGGCGGCGGCGCTTGCCATGACGTCTCGGTGGCAGGGGGCAGTGTGGACGGGTCCCCAGGAAGCCAGCCCCTGAGCTGCCCAGGCGGGAGGCCACAGGCTCCCTATACTCTCTGGTCCTCATTCCCGGACGGGGGTGGGGCGGCGGCGGCGGCCGGGGCATCTCGGGGCGTCAGCCCATCCCCGCCGCGCTCTCCCCAGAGGCCCTGATGCTGCCACCTGAACCCCAGGGAATGGAGGGGAATGGGCTGGGGGAGGCGCCGGGGAAGGCTCCAGAAGGAAAAGATGCTGCCGCCCTTCACCCCCTTGGGGAGCCAGACAGGGAGGGGGGTTGTGTTCTTGGCCAAAGCCCTGGTGGGTGCCTCTTGTAAACCCTCAGGCCCCTGGGGTCTGGGCAGCTGCCTCTGGCCCTGTGTTGGGGGCCTGCTCCTTCTGTGCCTGGGGCTCCCCTCCCGTTCTGGGGGCGTCCTCTGGCGCTGGGCACTTGGCCATTTGGAGACCCAGAGGAGTGGGAAGGCCGCTCTGCCCTATCCCTGCCGCCATCCTCCCTCCGGCCCCTAGGTCTGCCCTCCCGGTGCCACCAAAGGCCGCCTCCAGCAGTCCCTGTGTGCCCAGAGGAGCCGGGGAAATGGGGGTCTCCTTGATCCCAGGGCAGCTCACAGGCTGGGGAGCGGAGAGCAGGTGGAGCAGCGGCTTGCAAGGAGGCAGCCCTTGGGGAAAGGCGCCCCACACTCCGTGGGACCACTGTGGAGTCTCCATCTCTCTGTCTTTCAGGAACCAGTGTTCGTAGGTGGTGACCCACCCCTTCCGTGGCCTTGTGGAGAGACTGCAATCCCTGCCCAGGGGCGGCCCCTGGGCCCAGTGCTGCCTGGGGAGCTGCTGGGCAAAGGGCCTAGCCCGGGAGGAGAGGAAGGACCTTCCAGGCAGAGGCACCGGGTGCTGGGGTAGCCGGTGGTCCCGTTCTGGCATGGGGAAGGACGTGACCCTGTCACCTCAGCACTGCATCTCCTAGCGACACTTTGAGGGCGTTCTGTGCTCCCCACCTGATGATTGGAAGAGCTGGCTCTGGGACTGGGAGAGATGTGTCCTTGTCCTACAGATACGAAGGAGTGGGGCTGAATCTGCGCCCCGTCTTTGAGAAAACCTGGCTCTGTGGGGGGGGTGCTCAAGGCCCCCCGGGGGACCTAGGGGGAGAGAACGAGGTCCAGGGTAGGGAATGTGGGGAACTGGCTCTTCTTGGGGTGGTGTGGGAGGCCACAGGGAAGACCGTCAGAGCTGAGATGGACACAGGAGAGAGTCCTAGAATGCCTCGCAGAGCGGAGGGCTTTACCCACAAAGCCGGGCCTCGCCTGCCCCCCACCCCAGGCTGGACCAAGAGCTCCTTGGCAGCTGAGTGGCACGGGCCTCTCGGTTTGGGTGGCGGGGTGGGGCTGGGGTGGTGGCGGGGCCCCTGGGCACAGGCTGGAACCAGGAGGGTGAAGGGATAAACCTGGGATGGGTCCCCAGGCTCGTCACCCCCCAGTCCGGGATCCTGCCGGAGAACGACCTCTGGAGGGGCTTGGATTGGCCCTGAGGCCCCAGATGTGCGGCTCCTTGGCCCACCAGGATGGCCAGGCACGACCCCGAGGGGGCCAGGAAAGACCCCGGTCCCCTAGCCACTCTGTCCCCGGTTGCTCTTGGCCCCCAGGCTCCAAATTCCTGGGACTGAAAACCCAAGCAGCCTGTCCAGCCCCAGGGACAGAGTGGCCCTGTGTCACCCTCCCGCCCTCCTTAGTCGCCGCTCTAGAGGACGGGTCCTGAGTGAAGAGCTCTGCCCACCTCACCCCGGGGACCAGGCGTCCATGTGTGCCCTGCAGCTTCCCACAGACAGGACGTGGTGGCTCTCACCTCGTGCCAAGGGTTCTGCGGTCCCGGGTCCCGGTGGCACCTCCTGTACCCCAATCCTCTCCACCCAGAACCACATCTGGGAGCCTGCCGGCCTGTCGACTCCATCCACAGATGTCTGGGGACAGCGTGCGAGAGCCCCGCGGGGCCTCCCTAGGACGGATCCACAGATGTGCCCTTGCAAGGCCCCGTCTCACCCTCGGGGTGACCCGCTCCCCGGCTGGGGCCTTGGGGCTCAGCTGGCGCTGCCTGGGGCCTGGGACACCTCTTCCCCACAGAGAGAGTGGGAAGCCCCGGGGCCCTGGCCCAAAACGCCTGCCCTGCGGGGCACCCCAGCCCAAGTCAGCCTGCCGCGGGGGCCTGGGAAGTGTCAGCACGGCCCCCGAGGGACTGGGCAGGGGCTGCACTTCTTTGGACTGTGGTCCTGCCCCTGCTCTTCGGACAGGATTGGCCTTGAGTAGGGTTTGGCCTTGAGTAGTTATTGAGCTGCGCCCCCCCCCCCCGCCCCCGCCCGCACTGGGCCCTGGCTGCCTGACAGGCTCTCCATGCACTTTATTTGTAGTCTGTGTTCCAGACAGCAGAGCTTCTGCAAAATCGGAGACTCGGGCCGAAGAAGATGACTGTCCCTTTCCTGTGTGTGATTCACTGTCCTGGTCAGCACGGGCTGCTCAGAGAAACCCTCGCGTTCCTGCTGTTGTCAAATCTTGTCCCGCTAAGTTAAAAAGAAACACCCCTCCCTGAGTTCAATAAAATCCAGTCAAATTGGAGGCCTCCTCTCCTGGTGTGGGGTCCCCTGGGGGGCCGGGAGCAGGGGAAGGAGAGCCAGGGAGGGCTGTAGGATGGAGGCCTGCCCAGAGACACTGGGGGACTGCCTGCATGGCCAGGGCCCCCGGAGGAGAAGGCCACGGCACGGGCCTGTGGCCAGACTGTGGCGATTTGTCTCATTCTCAACCTTTATTTGAATAACCCGAGACCTAGGTGTTCTCTCCGTTTCAGAGCCGGGCCTCAGAAAGTGCTTACTATAGTGGAAGCTTGAGGGTGGGCTCGGGGCGATGGGGTGAAGGAAGCTCCCTGCACATCATTTTGGGTCACCCGGAGGTCCGTCTGCCATAGCAGGTGGCAAGGTGCCCCTGGCTTCCCTGCTGGCGAGGTGGGCGCTCAGTTTTGGAAAAGATAAAACCTTGGGGACCAGAAGCCTGCTGCCCTTGCCCCTGTCTAAGACCCGAACTGTGCCTTCAGAGCCCCAGCCTAGTGAGTCCCCAGAGAAGCCTGGCTATGGGGAGGGTCCCCGGGGGGGCCCAGGGGCTGACTAGAAGAAGGAAAGCCCCCCCCATCCCCACGGGGGAGGGCTCCTGAGGGTGCAGGGTCATGGTCTCCGGAGGTTCACAGCCTGGGGTAAGGGCCTTGGGGGTGCTCTGCCCGCTGGGAACTACCAGGGGCCAAAGCACCCTGACAAAGCAGAGCCTTCGGACACCTGGCACCACAGGAGGGACAGATCCCGGTCCCTGCCAGCGCCCCGAGCTTCCCTCTGCTTAGTGCAGACAGTTCTGTTCAGTCCCTGTTGGTCCCAAACCCAGCCCAAGGGTCACGCAGCCTGGCGCCACCAAGAGGGGAGGGTCAGACCGGAGCTCGGGGGTCCCAGGCACGTTGGGGAGGGAGGACCACCCTTCCCTGCCGTGGAGGAAGGCAGGCAGCTTCCGCTCTGGCTCAGGGTGGCCTTCTGAGCCCAGCTCTTCCTCGGTCTGCTGCGTGGCCACGTGCACTCTCGTGTCGCCAGTAGGGAGACCTCAGGGTGGCCGTGGGCCTTCAGGGAGCCGGTGGCTGCTCAACATCCATTCGGGCCTCACGCGGAGCAGCCTCGTGTGTATGAGGAGAGGAAAGCAAGCGGAGGGAACTGGCAGGTGTGGGGAGCCTGACCAGTCCCTGGGGCCCTGCTGGGGGCTTTCTTCCGGGGTCCTCCCTATCACCCCCACGGCCACGTCTGGAGGAGGTCATGGCGAGGCTGTGGTCCCAGGATGACCCAGGAGCTTGACCCAAGCAACCGGAGGCTCCTCACCTCCTGCCCTGTCCTTGGAGCGGACCTTCCACCCCTCACCCCCCATGAGGAGCGGTTCCCACCCAGGTCGCAGCCTTGAGAGAGTGTGGTGAGGCTGAGCCCACCTGGACAGCACCTGGGACTGACCCCAGTGAGGGCCTCGTGCAGACCCCTGACCCCGGCAGGTGGGTGCGTGGACACGTCCTCACGCGAACGCCGACAAGACAGGCTCGTGGTCAGTTTCCTGGCGCAGTGCACCTGCCTCCCTGTCGTCTGCAGCGCTTGGCCTCCGTGTTGTCTTGTGTCCTCCTCCCCAGTGCTCCCTGCTGCGGCTGCACGCGCAGCTGGGACAGGTCGTCTCCCCGGTGCACAGGCTTTCCCACAATCCACAGCCCCTCTTTGTCCTGCTCCACGTGCGGCTCTTTGGTTTGCTTGGCTGCACATGGGAAATGCCTTTGCTTCCGCCATTCCTGCAAGGTTCCGTGGCCCCCGTGCTCAGAGTTGAGAAGATCTTATTCCCATGTCTGTCACCAGCCATGAGAGGACAGGGTCTGTGTGGTTCCCGTGCCGAGCACAGGGGTCATCCCACCGCCCCTCTGTCTCCACCTGTCCCTGTGTGCAGCTGGCTTCCCCCATGGGGAGCACTCCCGCGGTATCTTCGGTCTCTGGGCTGCTTCCCGCCGTCGTGCTGAGGACCCTCTGTGGCCAGCCCTTGTGGGAGACTCCCGTTCGCTCCTCTCAGGGTCCCAGCTTCCATGGGCCACCTTCACACCCTTTCTGGGCAGGCTTGCAGCCCCCCCTCCCATCTCCCCTCCATGCGCTGCCCCGCCACTCCACCGTAGAGGAAGGGGAGAGAAGAGGGCTAAGCAGCAGTGCTCCACGGCCCACTCCCCTAGACTCGGCCTCCTCTGCGGCCCTCACACTCTGGGGCAGAGGAGCTGCCGGCAGATTCAGGCACCAGGAAGGCCGTTGCTGGGGGGGGGGTGACGCCGACCACAGAGTGGACTCTTTTCTGCTCTGCAGCCTGCCATGTGCTCATCCTGCGGAAGGAGGTGGAGGCCCACAGCAGGCAATGGCTGCTGGGCCTCGGGGTCTGGGTGACTCCACCAGGTGCCCCCTCACTCCTGGGCATGTGTCGCCTGCCCCCGGCTGTAACGGGGACATGACGACACTGCCACCTCCCTGCGGGGTTTTCTGAGGGCCATGTGGCAGTAACGCTTGGACGGCCCTGAGTCCAGTGCTTGGCAGAGACACAGGCTCGGCTCATCGGATCCATGCGTCAGGGTAGGACTGCCGTCTATCCCAGCAAAACTTCTCGGTGTTCATGGGTGCCCCTGACATAGTGATGCCTGCCCTGGTGTCCCCTGAGTCAGCCCCCTTCAGTTCCCAACTCTGGGGCAGGATTTCAGGATACAAAGGGCAGCCACTTCCATGTGGCCCCGGGCCTCCCTCCAGCAACTGACCTAGGACTTGACCACGTGGCGTCAAATACGCGTGTGTTTGGGAAACGAAGTCATATGCACCCTCTAATCAGGGAGACCCAGCATATGGGGACTCAGGAAGGAGTCTGCTGGAGCTGCTGGGGAAATGCAGGGGAGGGAAAGCCCTCCCCCCACAGGCTTCTCTGCCAGCATTGTCAGCACTGGGGTGGGACAGGAGAATCAGAGGCTTAGGGGAATGCAGACCCAGCTGTTGGGGACTGGGGCACAGGCCCCCCCCCATAACCACGAGATGGAGCCACCCTTGTAGCCTGGACCAGGTTAGGGGAGCCCCTCTGGAGAAGATCCTCGAGTGGGGGGCAGAAGGATGGAGATAGTCGCTGGCAGGGCACCGAGCTGCCTTAGGCTGTCGCCCTCTGAGGGTCCACCTTCCCGTGGAGGAAGGCCACAGCCCTGGTCCCAAGGCTGAGCAAGGTCCCAAGGTCACCAGCACCCACGTGGCCCGCCACACGAAACAAAGCAGAAGGCCTGCCTCTCTCACAGTCTCAGCCTTGTGGATGTTCTGTGGTCACAGCCGCCTGTCAGGGCCCGTGCCTCCTGCTTCTGTGCCTCAGCCTCTGTACCCACAAGGATCACTGCTGCCATCGCAGGGGCCCCAAGCTCCAGACCTCTAAGCGCGCCTCCTGCTGGGCCTGCCCCTGCCACCATCCAGGCAGCGGGGAGGCAGCAGACTGGCTCTCGTGGCCACTGAGAGGTGGAGGGCAAGGAGGGTATGTCTCCTCTGCTCCCAGCTGAGACAGCCAATATGGTGGTGTAGAGAAATGGGCTGGGGCCGGTACCCCTGTGTGTGCCTGAGGGGGCCAGGGGCTCCTCGGTGGGGCCCTTGGGAAGATGAGAGCCTGTCGTGGAAGGCTTTCGAGCAGGGCTGCGGCCCTCGAACATGCTGGTGGCTCTTCACCCCCAACCATGCGATTCTCTTTTCTCTGCTGCTGGGACCACACGCTGTGTGAATGGCAAGTGGGGAGACCAGGCAAGGCTTGGTTCAAACACCCTGGAGATACGTACCGGGACCAAGTGGGATTTCTCCCGGAATGCAACGTTGGTTTCATCTTAAAGTCAATTCACGGTTTACTCCATATTAATGCAAGAAGGGGGAAAACCTGACCCTTACAGTAGCTGCCGGAAGATTTGACAAAATCCAACACCCGTCCACGATAATCATTTCCAGCAAAATTGGTATATAGAAAGGAATTTTCTCGGCCTAGTAAGGAGGGTCTACACAATCTTAGCGTGCACATAGCACTTAATGGTGAAAGAATGAAGATCTTCTCTGCCCTCGGGAACAATGCAGGCTGTGCCCTTTTGCCATTTCTATTCCACATTATAGGGGAGATCCTAGCCAGTGCACTAAACTCCTCATCCCCCCCAAATAAAAGCATTCTGATTGGAAAGGAAAAGTCATAGCAGGGCTTC